AGGGATCTCACAGGACTCATTTGTACCGTTCATAATGATGGGTTCTGTGGCTTTATCAGCTCATGCTTTACAAACAAATGAGGTTTTTCATTTGTTCCTAATGACTCTGGTTTATACAATGAGATCTTAAACTGTCCCCAGAGCAATTATTTTGCTAAAATGTTATTAGAACATCTTTACAAATTTAGCAGCAAAGGGAGGTTTCAATAACAATGAAAATCATTGGGAACCAAGGTTCCTTGGCAAACGCAGTGCTCCCAAATCTTGTTTTATTTTCCGTGAGGAGTACAATAATCTTGTAAACTACCTATTTATTCTTTATCTGGTGGGTGATGAGGAAGATGAGGAGTGGATGGAGAAAGGAAAAGTAAAATCAGGGCAGTATTCTCCCACCAGTCAACTCCGTTCTTGCTCTTCTCAGGAGCTGTATGAGCCTAAAGCAATATGAATATTCTAGCATTTGCTAATAGAGCCATTTCTTTCCTGAGAGTTTGGGGATTTGTAGCTGAGACTGAGGTCTGTTTTTCAATGGACCATCAGTAAACAGGCTTTAGATTATACATGTAAACATATGTGTCCCATTTTCATAGTAATCAAATTTGATACACCTGCTATGCACAGAAGAACAGCTGCTGACAAGCCTGAAACTTGACCTGCAGTTTCTTGCAGATCACATTCAAATTATGCAGTCTTTCTCTTCTTTGTGGCTGCAGCTTCAGATACGGAATCTGCCCTTATTGTGGGCAGCTTGGTTTTCAAAGGCCTCCTTTGTCCAGGACAAATTTTGTGAGGTTCTCTCAGGGTGCTCACTCTGTCAATCTAATCCACTCAATAATTGTGAGCTTAATGTTTGTTTGTTTTTATATGTCATAAATATATTAAAAAATGTTAAAAAACAAAACATTAAGCTCACAATTATGGTGACAACTTGGCTTTCCGATAACAGACCAGGGAACTTTTATGGGGTATCTTTAAAAAGATATCCCACTGTAATTCACCAGACAATCACCAGCAGTAATGAAAGTGCCCACATGCCTTTAAGTGTTCTGAGATAGACCCGGGAATGTCATGGAACACGTGCAGAATTAGCAGGACATGCACTGAGTTTTCAGTTAAGATTGGAACAAAGAATGAATTGGTGGCTTTCGGATTTGGACTCATTTGGAACACTTGATTGCTGGGTTCCCTTTCCATGTTTATTCCCCTGGCTTTGTGCATGACCAGCTTGCCATGCAACAGCTCCTTCAATATACAGATTTCCTATATCCTTTCAGTCATCAGAGGTGGCATTTTGACAAGAAACACTTCCATGAACAGAGTAGTGTTTGGAAAAGCAGTCTTGCCAATATGTCTTATAGTTCGGTTCTTATAAGTGTATTTCTAGTATCACATGATCTCGCTCAGTTAGGGGAAATGATGAACAACATAGACTGATGAACAAGAACAGACTCGGAGTCAAGGAAGCATAGATCAGACTGTCAGACTTCAGAGGGAAGGTAGGGGAGGGTGGGGATAAGGAGGACCAAAGGACTTGTGTGCATGCATATGAGTCTAACCAGTGGCCACGGACAACAGGATGGAGGGGGCAACAGGATGGAGGGATTTGGGATGGGAATGGGGGGATGAGGACAAATACCTTAATCAATAAAGAAGTTAAAAAGAAACAGTCTTGCCGGGTTTGGCTCAGTGGATAGAACGTCGGCCTGCGGACTGAAAGGTCCCAGGTTCGATTCCGGTCAAGGGCATGTACCTTGGTTGCGGGCACATCCCCAGTAGGGGGTGTGCAAGAGGCAGCTGATCGATGATTCTCTCTCATCGATGTTTCTAACTCTCTGTCCCTCTCAATTCCTCTCTGTGTAAAATCAATAAAATATATTTAAAAAAAACAGTCTTACCAATATGTCTCAAAGATGACTGACTAAGCTGTGTGTAAAAATAATAATTTAAAAAGAGGTTAGAGGTGACATCTGTGGCCAGTTCAGAACAAATAGAAGTATGGATTGGATGATTGGTATCACTCTGCAGCCATTGTATGGGCCTACGGGTTGTTGTTAGTACTGTTTTAAAGGATATACTATTTTTTTAATTAAACATTTTTCTCATTTTACTTTTTATCAGATAGTGTTTTATTAAATAATGCATATCAGAATTCAGTGACAATAATTTGAATATTGCTACCAATAGAAATCAATAGGTCTTATTTTCATTCATATTAGCCATTCCTAAGCAGATGTAAAGAAGAATGACCTTCATGTACAGATCATCCTCCTTCTCAACTTACTAGCTAGATGCTATTATCCAAAATACCCTCTCTCAAAGCAGGTTTCCTCTCCTGCTAAAGAAAGTTTATAAGAGAGACATCATGATGTTATTGTATAGCCTAAGTAAAATAAGATGTGTGACCTGAAAAATAGTATTGTGCAGAAGTTTTATTTTGTACCTTCGATGCCCTTTTAGCCAGTGTGCAGGGCTTGGAATGGCCAATCCATTCACTTAGATGCATCTTACACAGTTCAGCAGCAGCCAGTAGCAAGTACTGAATAACAAGAATATGGACTGTTGCTAGTAACTATAGTATGTGGCGTCCAAGTTATTTCCAAGGAACGTAATTTAATATTCACTTTTTCTTTTTCCCTTTTTTATATTTCTGTCTGACTCTTCTACTTGAAACCATTGATATCGGAGACTGGTTTCATAGGCAGTAACCAACCTAATTCAGTGGGCTTTGTTCCTGTACTCTCTTTGGTATATTAACCTGCTTAATGAGTCTCTGTTAGAAAGTAAACTGTTATTATTAGGACTAACATTAAGAAAATATGCAAAGATTGATGAGTTGATGATCATAATAGACATTTTATCATTATTTCTTGCAAATATTTATATTGATCGCTTGGCCAAAGTCATGACAATAATACAGTGTTGTGCTCTGTAGCCTATAATTTTTTGAAGTAACGATTTATCTTTCCTAGCTGTTGATTTAGAGAAAGACTACTTCATTAAAGTTAGTAAATATGGAAACATCTTTGCAATCTTTAGTTGTATTTACCAGGATTGACACTTTTCTTCAAAAAGGTGGTGGCAGGCAGGTCATACACAGAGCAGGGAGATAAGGTTTCATTACCATTGGGAAGATGATTGTTGGTATTTTCTTCAAGGGAGTCCAGGGTTAAGAGGAAAAACAGGAGAAATGTGAAGTTGTTTGCTGTTTTCTTTGGATGTCTATATTCCTTTTGTTTTGTTTTATTAAAAGAAAACAAATTAATCAAACAAACAAACAAATAGAAAAATGGCTTTGGTTAGCAAAATTAAAGTAACTTTTCTCCAAATACTTTACAGTTTTAGCTATTTCTGGGAACTATGCATTTTATATGATACTAGTGGCCTGGTGTACAAAATTCTTGCACTCAGAAAGTTGTTCCCTCAGCCCAGCCTGTGCCCTCTGACAGTCCGGGAGCACCCAGGGGATGTCCAACTGATGGCTTAGGCCCGCTCCCTGCATGGGCCTAAGACTTAAGTCAGACAGCCTTAGCACTGCCATAGAGGTGAGAGAGGCTCCCGCCACTACCACTATGCTTGCCAGCTGTGAGTCAGGCTCAGGGCTTCTGGTTGAGCAGTGCTCCCACTGTTAGAGTGCACTGACAACCAACAGCTCCTGCATTGACTGTCTGCCCTCTAGTGGTCAGTGCATGTCAGATGTTCCGCCATTTGGTTGATTTGCATATTACCTTCTTATTATATAGGATTTCTAATAGCTCTGCATATTTAGTATCCTAATACATAATTTTCAATATCCTGAATGTACTAGTAGCCCTACTTAGCTTCTTAACAGAACAAGATCTTACTTAGTCATAAGGACACTTTTTCCTTTTTTCCCCCCAAATACTCTTTTAATTATATCAGTATTTTAACCATCAAAGTCCCAAATCTTTAGAAGGATTTTTTTCACCTTGTTATCCTTTTAAAATCATAAAAGAAAAGTGTAATAACCAATTACTGAATATTATACAAAGCAATAATACATTTTACATTTTTTAAATATTGGAGCGTTCATTTAGAGGACTGAGTTTTTTTTTTAATGGAGGGTATATGTTGGACCTTGAAAGAACAATATTTATTAAAAATTTTCTATATCAAAGTACACATGATAATTTGCACCCTATAAACAGCCAGGTTTTGAATATTAACTGAAGCTATCATGCCAGGGTTGGAGGTGATGTTTCAGCCACATGCCCTTCCCTGGATACCAGCTACCTGATCTATTTCTCTAGCCTCCCATTGATTCTCTGCCCCCTCCTCCACCCATGATCCTGCCAATAAATTCCTTGCACCAGAAATAATAAATAAATAAATAAATAAATAAATAAATCACGAAGATCTATTAAATCTACAGTTTCCCATTGCAACATTTTCTTTTGGAGTCAAAGTAAAAATGTAGTGTGTTTTCATAGTCACTTAGGCAAATAAACATAGGCAAATAAACTTCACTTTCCCAACATTTGGAACATATATTTTGTTTATTACCTATGTTAATAATCTTCTAAGTTCTAAAATTTGGAGTGCTATTTGAGAAAAATAATTTTTTAAAAAGTTGTCTAAACATTTAGGACAAAATGTTTCTGTTTAATCCAAATTAGTCTTTTCAACCGGTGCTTTTGTCACATTTTTACGTCTACCAATTACGAAGGCAAATCTTTGCTTGGTGAGTCTATTAATGTTGATGACAATCTAAAACACCCACTTTTTGGGGGGGGTTTGTTGAGATATAGTTTCAAAGGTGGAAAGAAGAATTTCATTCAAAATTACATTTAAAGAAAATATCTTATTTTTAAAATTTAGTCAGCAGTATTTTTGAATATTGTTAGGGGTATGATATTATTCTCTCTCAGGTAAAATCTGATTAACAAAATCACCTTTTTAAACTGCCTGTAGTAAAGCAGCACCTGTATTTTCAATACTATCGAGCTTTCAATTAACAGAATGTACCTGGGTTGCTTCTCTAGAATACCACTAAATGTCAGAGACATCGTCTACTGTACCGGAGTTTCACTGCTGGATGAGGATGTCTGGGAATTCATATGGATGAAATTCCACTCCACCACGGCAGTTTCTGAGAAGAAAATACTATTAGAAGCCTTAACTTGCAGTGATGACAGGAATTTATTAAATAGGTATGTCAATTAATGGTCAAATGTATTTGTGTAATAAAAGTATTCTTCATTAATCAAACTGTTCTGAAGTTGTTTTCTTTCCTGGGGTATATGCCAATTACTATAGGTCTAGATTCCTAAAACCAAGGGAAAATGATGTGTTAAGATAACTAAAGCTAGTTGACTTGAAAGACATGTCTTAGTTTCTAACTGATTTTTTAAAGTTATTTTTTACCCATACATGTAGGATAATATTTCAATATTAAAGGAAGTGTTTACTCTAAAGAATTTTAAAGGTAAGTTTGCATCATCCAACCAGAATTATGATTTCTCCACCCACAAGATTCTTGAAAATTTAACGTACCTATTAATTAACATATATGAGTTTGATCTTCTTCCTTTTTGATAGCCAGAAAATTATTCTATTGTGAAGTTGGTATTAGTAAAGTTTACCCTGGACTGTTCTCTTGAAGAATATGATAAGTTATAACATATACTTTTTTTAAATTTTATGAAAATGTTTAAGTTGTTGGACTAAAACTTTCCCTACAATTTTATCTTCAAGGCTTCTGAATCTGTCACTGAATTCTGAGGTAGTGCTGGATCAAGATGCAATTGACGTCATAATCCATGTAGCTCGAAATCCACATGGCCGGGACCTTGCTTGGAAGTTTTTTAGAGATAAGTGGAAGATATTGAATACCAGGTAGAAACTGAGTTTAATCATTCATACTTGAGTGAGTAAAAGGGAGAAAAGCACATTTTGTGTTAGAATAAAAGTCTGGATAATAGAATTAGATTTTTAAAAAGTCTACCAAGATGGATCTTGCCATGTTTATGAAACTCAAAATTATTTTATCTTTATTTTTTAAATATAACATTATTTATTTATTAAATATTTATCACTGTAATTATATGTGGAAATATAAAGAGTAAAAAGTTTTAGCAGTGCAATTTTCTCTGGCAACCTATCAAACTTTCCCAAGTTGAAGGAATTGTTATCATAAACCCCCTATATCCTGAATATGTTATAAAAATGGTTTACAAATCATGTATAATTGTATTAGGACAAGAAAACTTTACTTCTATAAAATTGTTTTAAATTTCCCTTAAATATACATACACCTAGAATAAAACCATGGAATATTTGAATCATTGTATAATTCTAATTGCAGTATAATTCATTCCTGAGACATCTTGTTTCATGGTAAGAATCCTTTAGCCTCTCATTTAGAAAATATTTCTGATATATTTAAATATATTATAATACATGTTAATTTATTACTCTTATAATCTCTATGGTATTTTAAAATTAAATTTATTATAGAGCTTGTGAATGTTGCATGTTCTCAAACTTAAATGTCCCCAGACAGTGTGCAGACCTACTATTCTATATTTTAAAAACAGGTGTATAAACTTTACTTTTAAAAAGTGCACCTTTATCAGTATAAAGAATTCAATCTGGATGGATGTGTCATATTAAAACACATTTCTATCTACAGATATATTTATTGTCAGAAAGCTGTGATATTCCTAGAAAGCACATTGGGTTTTTGTATTTTTAGCTCAAAAATTAGAATGCATTGGACGATTAAAACTTGCTTTGCTGTTATGCACATAACATAGTGAATAGTCAGACAGAAGGTTGAATTAATATATGCAAGCATTTTATAAAGAGTGCTAAATATCCACCAACACAGAGTCTTTTTAGAAGGTGCTTTTGTAGATCAGAGCTCACTGTAATGCATATATAGTTAATTCCTACCAAAATTGATTTTTTTTATGGAGAGGAATAGAGAGTGAGAAATATCGACGAGAGAGAAACATCAATCAGCTGCCTCCTGCACACCCCCTACTGGTGATGTACCTACAAGGTGAATGCCCTTGACTGGAATGAATTAGGGACCCTTCAGTCCGAAGGCTAACACTGTATCCACTGAGTCAAACCAGTTAGGGCTGTCTATTTTATCTCAGAGTCTATAATCTCTAATAAAAAAAGTAAAAGGTTAAGGTTATAGCATATGTACAGATACAGCAATGTTTATCTTGGCAAATAAGATTGTCATAATCTGCTTCAACACCTCTTTCAGCATTTGAATATTTAATGTTTAAGTTCATGGGGGTGTCTTCCTAGGTTCTCCTTACTTCCTGACTTGCAGATCCTCCCTTGTTTTAGTTGTCATCTATTCTCATGGTCTCAATCACTCTCAAACCTATATCTATAACACAAGCATTTCACCTAAGTGGTACCCTGTAATTGACAATGGCCTATTGGGATCCCCTTCTGGGATATTCTTGCAAAGTTAAACCCATCATTTATCTCTCCCTTTTCTCAGCAAACAATATGGCTATCCACCAACTGCTCAATCCAGATCCTGGAAATCTACATATGACTCCCCCTTTTCCTTGATGTATATAACAATTAGTCTTGAGATCTGTTTCATTTAATAATTCCTAAATGTTTCTTGAATTAGACCTCTCCTGTAATCAGTGCAGGTTGTTATTTCTTACCAGTACTCTTAACAATAGCCTTATGTTTCCCTACCTCTATAATTATCTCCACCACTGTGGCATGTATGCGCCCAGGTGCCGCGCACACACACACACACACACACATTTGTCCCAAGAATCACTCCAGAAAACAAAGTACTATTTCCCTGATGTAAAACAATGGTTCTGTGCTGCACTGAGAATTGAAGCTCCCTAATAAGTCCTCTGACTAACCTCCTGGCCTCTTGTTCTGCTGCTCCCAGCCTCACAATTTATAGGCTCTTAATACCAAATGTTTGTAGTTATCTTCACACATCATGTTGTTTCATACATCCTTGCACTTGTTTATATTGGACCTCTGTCTAAATTACTTTTATCCTTGATCACTGGAACTATTCCATACTCAATCTATGTCATCATCCCCTCAAATGCTATTCCAAGACCCCACAGCAAAAGAGACCTTCTCTAAACAAGGTGCATTCTTTTCTTATCACCATGATAAATGGAAATTAGCTCTTTACATTACTAGGTATTATAATACCTTTAAGGAAAGGATTGTGCCTTATTCATCTTTACATGACTATAAGCAAAGTATAAGCAAAACATTCTTAGAAAAAGTATTAGTTTATTCCTGCAGAGTAAGCCATTTCTTTAACCACATAATGATTACTAACAACTATTTATATTATTATTGAATGCCTATTTATTTTATTTAGTTAATTTTTCCAATGAAATAGGGGAATTCAATGTTAGAATAATAAATTCTGACAGTCTAGTCCCCTCATTTTACATATGAGAAATCTGAGGCTTCAAAAGCTAAATTATTTAAATTCCCATAAGTAAGAGCAGCTTTAGACAACCTCTGGTTACAGTGGCCTGACTTTTGCTTCCTAAAACTCAGACTCTCATGTTTGGTGTATGTTTCTTGGTTCTGTCTATGATAGCCTCTTATAAGTATCCTTAGCATAGAATAGACAAATCAATAAATGAAAACTCTCACCTTGAGTCCCGAGTGGAGTAATTATGTGTGTGGTAGGAGAATTATGCAGTTCTAATGAACAACTTGATATTGTATTTTAATGGCCAAATGAAAAAAAATGCTAAATTTTTGAAACATTTTTGAAAAATTTGACTCAGTCTCTAACTATGAAAAATGCAAATGCTAATGTCAGTTTTGACTAACCGGACTAAAAAATCTGTGTGACATACTGATAATTATACTGATTGCCCAGATTTGTCTTGCAATCCTGTTTCCCTAGTTGGGATTATTTTTCCTAGTGAGCTAGTTTATGTTAAAGTTGAAAGTTTAAAAATCTTTTTCTCTTCAGGCCTTGGATTGGAAATGTGATAGTATTTCTTGCATCTAATTTTAGAGGGCTCCTTTTTAAAATAGTAATACTACTTAGGCTTTTCTTAAAAGTTCTGAGCCAGGCCTATCTGGTTTGGCTCAGTGAATAAAGCATTGGCTTGTGGACTGAAGGGTTCCAAGTTTGATACCAGTCAAGGGAACATGCAGGCTCAATCCCCAGTAGGGGGTCATTCAGGAGGCAGCCAATCAATGATTCTCTCTCATCATTGATATTTCTATCTCTCTCTCCCTCTTCCTTCCTCTCTGAAATCATTAAAAATATATATAATTTTAAATTTTGAGAGCCAAATCAGGTGGCATCTGCTGGTATCCTGTAATCATAGCTCTTTGCACCTCCCAACTTCCTATAGAAATGACCTTGAATGCTCAGAGATCTTGATAGCATCAAGACACCACTATTCACATGGAACACTTGAGAAAAGTTCTAAGAAATCTTTATGGTCATATTTCTTTTTAATTTTTTTTTATTTTTTAGTTATAGTTGACATATATTATTATTAGTTTTAGGTATACATCCCAGGCATTAAACATTATATAACTTACTAAGTGATCATCCTAATAAATATTGTACTCTTTCAACAACACCATGCAGTTATTGGAATATTATTGACTATATTCCCAATGCAGTATTTTGCATCCCCAAGACAATTATGTAATTACCAATTTGTACTTCTTAATCCCTTCACCTTTTTCATCTATTCCTGCAATCTTCCTCCTATCTGTATCTATGAGTCTTGTTTCTGTTCTATACATTTATTTTATTTTTTTGGATTCAATTGTTGATAAATATGTATTTATTGCCATTTTATTATTCATATTTTTATTTTTCTTCTTCTTCTTCATAAAGAAGACCCTTTAAAGTTTCATGTAACAATGTTTTGGTGGTAATAAATTCCTTTAGCTTTTTCTTGTCTGAGAAGCTCTTTATATGTTCTTCCATTACGATGCGTCTTGGTGTGGGACTTTTTCAGTTCATCTTGTTTGGGTTTGTCTGTATTTTGTCAACTTGTATATCTATTTCCTTCACAAGGTTTGAGGAAGTTACTATCATTATTTTTTCAAATACGTTTTGAGAGAGCTAGAAATATAATAATATTTCTTAAATTACTGCCTTTATTAACATTAAGACTTCTTTTTTATCTTTTGAGGTATGGAGAAGCATTATTTATGAATTCCAAACTTATCAGTGGAGTTACAGAATTTCTTAATACTGAAGGTGAACTCAAAGAGGTAAACCTTTTAAGATTTCTAATGCTTTTCTTTTATTAACATATGAAATTATTCATTTACTTCAACCATTTGTTTATAACAGAATCATATTCATTCCTTTAAGATACACACACACACACACACACACACACACACTCACCCATGCTAAAGACTACTCAATTCATTATTTGAAAATATATTTTTGACATATTAAATATTAAATGCCTTTGAAAAATGTTTGAATGGAATGAGTCTTCAACTTGGGGATTCCAAATCCACTCAAGACATATTTGATCCAATCAGCTGCTCATCAGCTGATTGTGTGAATCCAGTTTAGGATCCTCAAAACAACAAAACTATTCTGTCACAATGGTTCAGTATTTGGATACAGAAGACCAAAGTTAAAGTTGAGGTATAGAGCTTGAGTCTCACTGCTTTGTGCTCAGGTCTATACAGAGAATGGATGACTGGATGTGATGATAATGCTTCATGCTATTCAGTCTGTAAATTTTTTAAGGACTAGTGTACAGTTTATGGAATATCTAACATGTCATTTTTTCTCTGGAAACCAACTACTGTTTTGACCACTTACATCTCTAATAGAGAGAAGTGTGAAATGGGAAGGGTTAAGTAGGTAGAAGGAAGGAGCAAAATATAGATATACTTAATCAATTAAAATGAGTGGGGCTTCAAACAACTCTTGTTTTTGGTATGCTGCTCTCTTCCACAATAAAACAAAGCTTAAAATTATCAATTCGAACCAAGGTTTCCTCAGTTTCCACTGATGGTTGTTTGATGCTCTGACCCAGAGCTAATCCTGTTGAGCAGCAAACTCTCAGAAGCATCAAATCAACCCTGGAACTACCCTTAATATCTTCTGATATTGCCCAATTTTGTATGATCATCTAGCGTGCACTAACATGGATTCTTTCACACCATGAACTGAGCTCAGTTTCTGATTATAATGATTTGAACTTCAATTTTTATCCCTGCTCTGTGTGTTTCCAACCCTAAAGGATTTGGTTTTGAAAACACCAGCATATGTTTCACTATATTTTTTAGTAAAAGAAGCTAAATGGGAAGAATATTTTTCATATACATGCAAAGAGGAAAGAACAATAAAGTTAATGATTTCTTCCAATTTTGTCTGTATTTAAATGAAGCACTTTCAATTCCATGATTTCATATTCAATAACCTGGGAGTGAAAGACTCATTTAGTCATGCTCTGCGCAGCCATGGAAGTGACTGGCTAAGTGAAGGATCCTGCCCCTCATCTTCCTTCCCCATCTGTCCTTGCCCCTCATTGCTGCCTTCCTTCTCCTGGCTTCTCTCCTGTCTTTTTCCCATTTCACTCCTATCCTCCCTGTCTCTCTCCTATTCTTCCTCCTCTACTTCTATCCTCTAATTCTGTCTGTATTTCATATTTTTTTCTTTGATAATACCAGGCCATAGGAACAAAGTTTTTTAAATGAACATTTAACTAATTTTATCCTATACCGACCATTTGGTTTTATGTATTTCACTTATGTGTTTAACTTTTTACACCTGACTTAATTGCATTTGAAATGTTCCAAGATACCCCTATAATGAAAGGCACAATTTCAAGACTGAAACTGAATTGTGACTTTTAGTCCATTATCTGCAAAGCAGTTAACTTCACCGTAGAGTCTCTCCATGGCACAAGTCATGAATCCCTTCACAGCATAACTGCTTGCTCTGAGTTTTTCGTTTAACAGCTGTGGCCTGAGGTGTTTCCATATTTTCATTATCTAATGGCCCATAGGATTGGGGACCACTGTTGTTAGGCGGAATGGGGGGTTAATTTGTATTGCTGATAACCCCTTCCATACATATAAAGGGGCTGAGGAAATTCCAGTCTCATTCTCCTGTAATCAATGAGCCTCATAAACAGAAAACCCAATGTGCTCCCTCTGGGTATGGCACATCCTTATTTCAACAGTTTATAGATCAAAAGGGAATCAGCAACTTTATGAATTCGGAAAACTCATTTAAGATTTTCATGATCCCCATCAGCTTTAGGGGCATTAAGTAGAGATACTTATATTGTTACATGGTCCCATCCTAAAAACTACATTCTAGAACTGGAAACACAATTTCCTTTGATTTCATGGCCCTAACAATATTTCTCCATGAGATGGTGCATTATTTCTTTAATTTTAAACTAATGGAAGTACAACCACATGGAATCTCTGAGGCCCTTGCCATTTTTCCACACCCATATCCTTTAGGCATTCCTCTCTAGCACTCATATTCCTACCTCTTGAACCTAATGTACAAATCTGGTGTGAAAGAATATAGATCCCATGCATCTCAGACATCCCATTTATAGTTTTAATGTTGAAAACATATATCTCACAATAGGGCAATCATCTGATTCATATATATATATATATATATATATATATATATATATATATATATTCTGCAATTTACTGTACAAATAATTTACTCCGTGACATTTAGTGACTGGGACACCCTAAAATAAGGTTTTATAAAATACTAAAATGTTTTTAATAGAGAAATTGACAATTTTCAAGAAATTTTATGCTCTGAAGAACAGGGAGAACAAACAACTCTGACATCTTATGAAATGTTATTTTATAAAAAATGCCTAAATGCAATCTTTTCATATAAAACCTTAAGAAGGCATAGATATTAGGAAACACTATAGTAAACACAAATAGCAGCAGCAATCCTACCAAAGAGCTGCAGAAATCAGCAAACTAGAATGTCAAATGCTTTCTACTGCCCCATGGCTTCTAAAGTGAGTCACCTCAGGCTCTCTGAGCTCAGGAGGGTAGTATTTAGTGTAATTAAATAGTGATTTAAGAAATGAATCTCAAGAGACCCATAATTTAATTGTCAACTGTGCATTCTCTTGCAGGATAATCTGACCTGCTATTCTGTCAATAGCTCATTCATATTCAACCTATTGTTTGCCTTTGAGGAAGATTTAAGAGATTTATTAGTACTCCATGAGTGCAGGCTGGCTTGCTAACTCATCAAGAAGCCCATGGTTTCCTAACTAGTTTGACTTAGTGGATAGAGTGTCCGCCTGTAACTAAAGGGTCTCAGGTTCTATTCTGGCCAAGAGCACATGACTACTGGGGGCATGCAAGAGGCAGCTGATCAAAGATTCTCTCTCATCACTGATGTTTCTCTCTCTCTCTCTTCCTCTCCCTTCCTCCTTAAAATCAATATAATATATATTTTAAGGGGAAAAAAAGTCCATGGCTATGCTGCACAGAGTCAAAGTTGCCAAAGGGTCATTATCACTATTTGGCATGTTCTGTGACTACCCAGAAAAATATGTAATAAAACATATGATGAATAGACTTAATTTTTTCCTGAGTGGTTATATTATGTAAATAATGCCACTGTACTGTACACATACACTGAGTGACCAGATTATTATGATCTATGAATGCATAATAATCTGGCCATTCAGTATATATATATACATTCCATATATGTTAGAGGCCCAGTGCATGAATTTGTGCATGGGTGAGATCCAGCCAGCCTGGCCAGGGGGAGGAGACATGGGCGGTGGCTGGCCTGCCTGCTGGCCAAACTCCTGGTCGAGGGAACACTTTGCATATTAGCCTTTTATTATATACGTGTTCAGAGATCATAATAATCTGGCCACTCAGTGTATAATGCACAAATGTACAATGCAATGTACATGCTTTGTAATAAATTGAAACGCTAAATTCAAAACATAAATCCCATGTATTATTTGTTGCTTTAGAGATATAGACTGAATAGGTCTGAACATAAATATAAATAAAAATGAATTATTTGGTTAATCAACTAAAATTTAAATTATTCTGCTGATTCCATAAAACTTCCTTTTTATATATGTGTACATGTTCTAGGTATATGCATGTGGCACAGAGTCTGAGACATTGGGAGCTATTCAACAAATCCCAGTCTTTCCTTTCCTCTCCTTTCCTTAGTATGTGTACATTTGGTCAAATGTCAAAACAATTTTAAAGTTAGTGCCGATAAATATTTGTAATACATTGGATATTTTGCATGTTTGTTATAAAAGCATACCGATTTTGAATTCTTGTGGAGTATATTGCTCTGAGATATGGTTATTTGTTACTAAAGCAGTGAGACTGGGGAGTTTGTAGAAAAGTAGAGGATAAACTGAGAAAACCCATCAATATTATGTAATCAAAGTAACACTGCCATAAACAAAACAGACTACCCAGAACTGAATTTTATATTAAAAAGCTATATTTAACTCTATTTTAAATGTCTCCCCCTCTCCCCCCCCCCATTTCTCCCTGTCCTTGGGCCATTCCTGATGCAGTGCATTTCCCTCCTGGCATATCCTCCATGTGGTGCCCACCGTGTGATGAATCACACCTCACACTAATTACACCGCATAATGTTTCTCTGTTGCAAGTTGATTTTTCACATTTGTCTGTTAGCATCACGATCCTTGATTGGTTGCCAATTTCTAAAGACATATCAAATAGAAAGAAAAACTGCTAGCATTGGATCTTGAAATAAAAATCCTTGAGCATTTCCAGAATATGCAAACTCGATAGAGAAAATCTCATTCCATAAAAATTGTGACAAAACATTTAAAAATTACAAGATTTTAATTTAGTGTTCCAATTCTTTGCCTAATGAGACCACATTCCTCCTTCATTCTTTCTAAATCTAGTTACTCAAGTGATTGCAATGCCATTTAATCATGCAGTTTTTATACTATCAGTATTCCCCCCCTTCCCCCAACTACTCAAAACCTTTGATAATTTCCTTGCCATTAAAGATAGTGTCAAGCCCTCAGACTCTTTATTGGGAGAAAATTAAGGAGAATTTTCTTTCTACAAGCAAAAAGTAAACTTTATTCCTTATATTCAGTTTTTAAGGCTATTTTGTCTGTTGGATATGCTTCGTTATTAGAACTTGCTTTGCCACAATCCCATCAGCCTATTATGAAAAGATAAATTAAATACGTCTGTTTTAATATTTATTTATGAAGCAAGAGTTAATTTTATAGCTACTTACACTGTAATGTCCATTCCTTATTTTCCTCTCAATTTCAAAATAATTGACACCAAATGGACCCAGTCATATTGCATTTCAATACTAAGCTCTTTCCACATATTAAGTATACCTTCTGTAGTGACGTGGCCCATTGTTTAAAATGGGCTCTTGTTTACCTATGTTGGACATGCATAATTACCATTTGAAAAATCTTTATTTCCAGCTAAAGAACTTCATGAAGAACTATGATGGAGTAGCCGCTGCCTCTTTCTCAAGAGCTGTGGAAACCGTCGAAGCCAATGTGCGCTGGAAAATGCTTTACCAAGATGAGCTTTTCCAATGGTTAGGGAAAGCTGTGAGGCACTAATTCAACTCAACATTTCTACGAGAGGGCCTGCTTTCTGCAGAATGAGGAGAACGGCCAGACTTTCAGTGTTAATGTGTGGGAGGAACTTTTTTTTTTTTTAATTGTTGGTCATGGGGGATTTTTTTGTGTTGTCTCATTCGTCCTGCTTTGTTTCCTAATCGGGTGTTCTTCTTTAAAGAAACTCTTGCAAGTGAAACTTAGCCATGATTGCTTCAGCTGTACATTCCTTGCTCTACAGGACCAAATATGATAGTGGTGCATGTTGATGTTGCAGTCAGTTTGGAAAAACACATTCAGCATACTTGGTGCATGGTTGTCTGGTCCTGCCTGTGTTCCAGCATGCTTATTTAAAATGTCCAATGTTGTCTGCTCCAATGTTACATCCAGGATGGGCATTATGCAAAAGCACAAAGATTATCTATGACAATCAGTGTTGCAATAAAAGGGGGAAATAAAAGAAGGAAATTATAGTCTTAGTCTTGGGCATTGTAAGAGATAAAATAGCCCTTTTTAGTGATTAAGGTCACTTATTTCAGCAGTTAAATTGTCCTGAAATGACTATTGTGTTGGTAACCTATTTTTTTGAGTTAAAGTTGTTTAAAAAAAAAAAGGCATATAGTGTATGCATATGTCAATGTACATAGGGAAACCCCATATGTGTATAGTATGTTGTACACTGTACTTCTGCAAAAATCTCTTCAGATCAAAGAAAATGTATCTTTTTTTATATATATAACTTCCACAAACTTTGAAAAGGCTGGAAAGAATTTATCTCAACACTATCCTTCTTGACAATTTCCTTACTAAGTTTTTCAACTTGTTATGAATTTGTTTCATCTACTTACTGAACAGTGGTCTATTCTACTATATTAAAAAAATGAACTCAAGCAAAATTCATGTGTAAACTAAAAACTTTTTTAATTCTCCTAAATAAGTGGCAGGCTTGCATTCTAAATATAAATCATGTCATCATTTTGACCAAACTTCTTACTGCATAAAAATTGTGCATAATGAACAATTATTAGTGCTGCAAAAATATTTATTTTTTCATTTTGTTTGCATTTCTATCTCATGTTGGGTGTGTGTGGGTTTTGTGTCTGTGAACCTAATCCTCCATTAAGCAACCATACCTCAAGTGGGTCTATCAGCCTTTAACGACCCTTGATGCCAGTTGTGCCATCTATACATTAAAATTAAGTTTAAAAAAAAGTTACTTTTCTTGAGCAAAACTTTTTCTTTGGCATTGACAACACTTTTCTTTTTGTTATATAACACAAATGTTTTTAAATGGTATTCTCACACCATAGGCCAGCTTTCCAAACATTGCTTAGATGCTCCAAATTGGCATATTTTAGGAATTTACCATTGTAAAACACCAATACAACTCTGTACATAAGCCACCTGTTTGTGGATCAATTTCTATTTTCCTGAGGTTTTTCACTCCTCCAAATGTCCTCCAAAACTTATTTAAAATAATTGAAAGGAAATATTCTCACTTTAATAGTCAGTGGACACTGATAATAAAACTGCAACAACACAATAAAAAAATAGGAATTTTAGAAACTAGAGCCATATATTTATTATAGATTTATAGGTTCTAATCCATAGAATGAGTGTCACCTAAGATTAAATTTTATATTTTTAGCAGTTAATATCTATTACTTATACCTAAACTTTTCAGCATTTCTTTCAATTAAAATATGAATTTTAAATACTGTATGTAGTGTTACTAAGACAAAGTACTACTTAGTGTCAAATTTAAGAGCTATCCACTTAGCAGAAGTGGTGAAATTTAATTAGTGCTCATCACATATGTGAACTCTTTAAGGGGTACATTCTGAAACATAACAATAATAAATGTCACACTGATGTGCAGGTCCAAAACATGTACTATATCACAATCTGATTAATGTAATAGAGGAAGATAAAAAAATAGAGATGGGTATCTTGTTTTGTGTAGTGAATTACTGAAAATTCTTAGTAGTTGTGACATACTTTTGAGTGAAACGACCATCTTCTGCATTTGAGTTAGAAGGGCTTTTATAGTTCTTTTTCCTCCCCACTGTTAATAATCTTAATCTTCTTGCAGTATTTTAGTGGCCTTGAACAACTGATTTAGCAACAATGTCAAATCCTAAGTGTATAATTATGTGCAATGTTCAATACCTCATATAATACTTGTTCAACAGTATAAGTGGTATCAATGGCATTGAGATGGGATTTTTGTTCTACATATTTTTCAATGATTATCCTTTCAAATGTTGAAGATTATATCAGGCTTTAACATTTTTTTAGTTGTTGAAATAAGTGATATTTTCAAAATAATAAAGTAACCAATGATATCTCTTGGAATATTATGTAAAATGTAGTTATAAAATTCTATTTTCTACATAGAGTTTTTATCTTTTTTCTCTTCTATGTCTGTTTTACAACTCATATTTATGCATGAAATAACACATTGTCCTTACTGCACAGTATATGTATAATGGCAAAACTTTGTTTCAGTAAGAAAGCTCTAAATTATTTACCATACTGAGTATTAAATATATCTAGGTAACTTGTAAATAAAAAAAAATTCCCCATTTTGACACATTTTTTTCCTTAAAAGTTTCTAATCTTTGAAAAATTTAAAAAATATATATAAGCACAATATCTAAAGCTAATATCTACATGCGAAGTTTATTCTTGAGTTTTAATAACATGGCTTTTAGTTGAAGCTTAAAGTCACTTTGGTGTATATTATTTCCTGGATAATTGTAGGACCATAATTTTGGTGGTAATGCATTTTATAAATATTATAATATATTGGAAGGTTATTATGATTATATCATATATTTATAAATTACATTTTTTTTTTCAAAGAACTTTAACACATGCCATTTTGTTTGACTGTTTTAAAAAATACAATGAATTATATTAGCCCTGGCTGTCTGATAAGAAAAGAGAGTCAGAGAGTAGCAACATGAGCTATTTAAAATTACATAGTTGTTGCTTTAGGACCAGGTAAAATACAGCCTTTCTATAGCTAAAATAGAAAGACATGTTTGAAATATTTCTATCCACTGCATTAGTTAAAGATTTTCCAAATGCTTGAAGCAGCATCAAAATATGTGATTAAATAGATCTACAATAATTATGTTATTTATGTTATTTTTAAAGTCAGTGTTTCTACTTTGCTTGATGTCAAACAACTGGATGAAATGTTAATCAACATTTATTCTGGTCAGCATAAGTAGCCAAATATTGGGACAAATTGTATAGTTTATTGAGTATAGTTTTCTTTTTTTATTCTTTGGTGAACATTGTTTAAATGACCTTAAAATACTGATAATTTGATTTATTTTCCACACAAATTTTCTCTAATAAACTCTTATCTGTAGTAATAAATGGTCAGACAATTGATAAAATGGTATCCATCTCTGGTAAATCAGTGAAGATAATATTCAGTAAAATGTTTATAAATCTATGCAGACTAAGTTGTGAAAAAAACTTTTGTGCAACTTATATTACTGTATTTGATGCAGTAAAGAAGTTTATAATATGTTTAATTAAAATCTGCTGGTTATCAAAAATTTAAGTCATGTGTTCCTAAGTAGTGGGAAACCTGCAATAGCCCAATTATTTTTCTCAGTATACTGTGTCAAAGAAGTAATAACAATTCACATTATGAGAAATTCAGATTCCCACACCTGTAGTTTTTTTCCAGATTGTAGCTGAATTATCACTTGACATTGCGAATTATGTAATGACAGAATTCAGTTTAATTAAACAAGTATCTGTTGACCACCTTTGATTTTACAGGGCACTACATGAGAGGTAAGGAAGGAAAAGATGAGTAAGACCTGAAGAAATTCATGTCACAATGAATGAAACAAATACAAGATGTCCCAAAAACTTGTACACACACTTTAATAGCCTATAGCTCAATTGATTTTTTTTTTCCTTTTCAGCCAGACTAAGTTTTGAACAAAGAAAATCCATCCTAAAATGCTACTGCAAGTTTGAAAATGCAGTTGAAGTACAAACACTGCCTTTTTAATTATTCAAAGTGTGCATACATTTTTGGGGGGACTCAGGGTGTGCAATAAACACATATACACATATACACACATATACCCCCCCAAAAAATGTGTACACACTTTAACAGTTAATAACTCACTTAATCTTCACTCCTTTTTAGATTTAATTGATTTGATAGAATAGGTGAAGCCAGACTAAGCTTTGATCAAAGAAACCTTGTTAAGAAATGAGTGGCAAACCAGAATGCATAATTAACATTTCTCTCAAATATGCCAATGACAATGAAAAAGTGATCTAAGTATCTATTCAAACCTCCTAGAGAGACTGGTCTGTGTGGATAAGCGTTATATTTCCATGCATGTTGGAAGCAGGTTAATAACTAATCTGAGTTATTTGAGGCTTGGGGGTACAAGGCCTGGAATCCCAACTAATATCTGCCACTTACTGAGTTATATAAAATTTATTGAGTTAAATAAAATGATCACAACTCTTAGCTTAGTCAATGGTAAAATAAAACTGGTAATATTTTATTAGATTTATTTAAAAAGGTGATATCTAAAAAGAGCCTGGCATTTAGTAGCCTCTCAGATTTTTGTTTTTTTCCTATAGTTTAACTCATTTAATATCAATAAATTTAACACAAAAAGTTTAATTCAGATAAAAATAAATGATTGGCCTATTTTTCTTCTTAGTGCGTTAGTGCATAAAATGGGAATGTCCAAAAGATAAACATCTTCAATGTGCTATTCTTAAATTATGAAATACTCAAGATGAAATCTCTTAAAATTCCATGTTTTCAAAATCTAGATAAAATCATATTGCCTATTACTATTAGTGCCTTTTGTGAACTATTTTAAAAATAAGACACATGTAATTACTCATATGCAGTATAGTTAAAATTATGTTATTTTTCACCAACTTATTTTTAATACTTAATACATTTTTAAAATTTCTTTTCTAAACTTTAGTATTTTAATAAT